CTTGGTCTCCAATCATCTAATAATAATAATAATAATATGGTCTCCAATATAAAGGAAATGAGAAGAGCCATATCAAATAGAGAATATTTTATATATATTTTTAGATTTAAAGAATTTTCTACAATGATATAATCATAAGTCTCATCCTTATTTTGCATCTTCAAAATGGAATCATTTTTAATCAAACCATACCCAACCCTTAATTTCTTTCTCTCTGCCATTTTTTTTGTTTCATAGTAAAGTGACATGGGGATGGAATACATTAGCCCTACCATATATCATATTTATCTGATCGATATGTTAGCTAAATCACAATCTTACAAGGATGACAACTCGATGTTGTTAACGATAACGACATAACATCAACATGCAATTTATTTGGATGGGATAATAGTCAAATTATTATTTCATAATCATAGCATCAAAAATTAATGCATTATCTTATGGTTCAATGATAGCCAGATGGCTCATATAAAATTTTCCTGATATTGACGCATCTCACCTCAACAACCTTCCCTGAATTTTTCATATTTACGTGAGAGGGTATATAAGGATTTTGAGTTTGGGTTTAGGTTAATTTAAGATAAAGTGATTCTTTATATTAATTATATATATATAGTGAAAAATTTTATTTTCTTGATGGACATAGGTAAGGAGTGTTGAATTATGTTAATATTATATCAACTTTTTAGTATGTGTTAGAATATTAAATCAAACTTTATGATTAGATTTGATTTTGGTTTAAGAGTCCAAGGTTATTATAGTTGGAGTCAATATCTTGAGTTTACCCCTCTACCAGAAAGACTTATGTAATGCCTTATATACACAATAAAGATAAGTGATGAGGTAGAGATAAAAGAGCCTTAGAATTACGAGGTCTAAGAGAATAATACCTTGTATACACAATAAGGAGAAGTGATAAGGTAGAGCTTAAAGAGGCTTAGAGAGATGAGGTAGAGCTAAGAGAGGTTTAGAGATAATGAGGTCTAAGAAATTCATGTAAATGAAAAAGAATTATAAAATTATATTCTTCTCTTCTTTTTTTACAATGACAAAAAGAGAGATAAAATTTGCTAACTTGCATGCTTTAAAATAATATAAAACTTGCTAAATTTGCTAGTGATAGAACCCCGGTGGATTCTAAGTTTGGGGTTGATCTTTTTAGGGGATCAGCTTCCTTTGAACTCTATAGGGTTTTCTTCCTCCAAGTTGCAGCTCAAAGGCTACTAAAATGACTCATCTATTCCTTGAGAAAAGATAATAAATACATGACAATTTATAGGGCTTCTAAATCCCAACTTCTAATAGGACTCCTACTCAAGACTCCTACTTCTAACTCCTAATATGACTCCTACTCAAGACTCCTACTTTTAACAAACTCCTAATAAGACTCCTACTCTAAGAAGCAACCTCCAAACTAATCCTAACCTTAGCCGACTGGTAGAACCCTTGCAGATTCTAAACTTGGGGTTGATCTCTTTAGGGGATCGGCCTCCTTGGAACTCTATAGGGGTTCCTCCCTCCAAGTTGCTACTCAAAGGCTGCAGAAAAGATTCATCTATTGCTTAAGAAAAGAGAAGGAATACATGGTTATTTATAGGGCTTCTAAACCCTAACTCCTAATAGGACTCCTACTTAGGACTCTTACTTCTAACCAACTCCTAATATGACTCATACTGAAGACTCCTATTCCCTTACAACTCCTAATTTTTCTCTAAGAAAAAACCTCCTAACATAATGTCCCTCTCAATTAGGACTCTCCTAGTTAGAGTCCTAACAGAGTGTCCCTCTCAATTAGGACTCTCCTAGCTAGAGTCCTAACAGAATATCCCTCTCAATTAGGACTCTCCTAGCTAGAGTCCTAACAGACCCGCCCTCTTCAAATCAGCCTTGTCCTCAAGGCTGAGATTCCATGAACTCAGGGAACCGGGTCTTCAGCTCCTCATATGGTTCCCATGTGGCGTCTTCAAGTGGTAGATTATTCCAATGCACTAGTACTTCAGTAGAGGGATGTCGGCGACGCATCACGATCCTGCGATCGAGAATGGCCTGTGGTTGGGCTTGAATAACTCCATCCTCAGTTGTGTTGGGCAGTTGGATCTGGGGTGACTCATGTTCTCCCAACTTGGGCTTTAGGCATGATACGTGGAAGACAGGGTGAATTTTGGCATCTTCAGGTAATTTAAGTCTGTATGCCACGGCTCCAATACGCTCGG